GTCAGTTGATTGAATCCCAGCCATAGAAATTTGGTTTGAATTGAAAAAATTCTTATTTGGATCATTGAAAATGAATGAAAATTATTATATTCCTTTTTGATAAATCAAAATTCCAAGTTTTCAGAGTTAAAATTGCAAAATAGCAGAGATGAACAGTCAGATTAATGAGAGTCCGAGTTTTCAAGTCATCATTCATGATGACAGCACTCATTTTGTTCATTTACATCGAAAATAATGTTTTGGTGCATTTAGTTTCAAAATTTTTACATCATTCTTTATGTGAATATAGTAATTTCTAAGCAGAAGATATCATATTTGATGTACTTGTAAAATCCTAGTGATTATATGGGAAAATTTACAAATTATTAAGAAAAAATCATGATGATGATGAACAGAACTCATCATATTTTTCATGTACTCAACTAAAAGTATTTATGTAGTTTTGTGAATTTTTTTATTTATTTAATGAGCTCATTTTCTATTCTTCTGCAGATCGAATATTTTTTATTTGAACTTTCATCTCAACGGCGAAATAATTTTTCAACCACTGAAAATAACGCAATAATACGACAGCATTGCTGACATTTAATAACGTAGGTCTTTTTAAGTTTCTCGTATCTTGTGCGAGCTCAAAGAGTTTACATGATAAATGACAGAACAATGGAATGCGGGTAGTTTCTCTAATTTTACATGCTGTAGTTTTGAATTTTCCTAGAAGTCACAATAGTATGCAAAAACATGTCGAATATTTACATATTGTTTCCAAATATACTAACATAATGTAATTTTCGAAAAGAATCATAAATAGCCCGTAAATATACCAATAATTGATGATAATTAATCGAGTACTGGTTGTTATTGTGAAAGTTTTCCTATTTATCAATGTAATTGTCCTGTAAATTTACATTAATTTTTTACAATGTAGTTTTCATCATCGACAAATTTCTTTCATAAAAGCCTTTTCATCCCACATCAAAGATTTTCATCATCAATCCCGAAGATCGGACACAAAGTGCATTGGCACGCGCATTGCACCGCCAGCTGTGTTTTGGAAAGACCGTTACGGCGTCGTGACAGAATTACAGAAGGGCACCCTCCAGATGGGGCGGTAAATGCTTTCCTACCCCTCCTTTCACCTGGCCGGAGCATACTGCACCACCACGCTCGATGCTCGGAACATGTGCAGATATGCGCCCTTTGCGTGCAGCGGCGAAGACGAGGGGTTGTTCGGTCAGGGAGGGGGTTCGAGATCAAGGTAAACACGATTTTATGTACTGAAACACGTACGCTTCGGACCTATCTAGTGTCACTACAAATAGCGAAACAAGTGTTATGATTGATAAAGTTTGACACTTTGGATGAAAGGAGAAACGTTCTAAATTATCTAACTTTCGCGGCCAGAGATAACTGATTCGAAGCTTTTTTCGGGGTTTTTTGGTCTTGGTCTGCAACTTTTTTTGCCCGACGTTTCATCTACTACTGCGGTAGGCGTTATTGAAGGCGAAGAGGTAATAGAAACTACAATGTTGGAGTTTGTCTGTTCATCCGGGTTCAAAAGTTTATTTTTCCATCTCATGAAAGAAGTGAGATATAGATTTGGATTTGAAGTTTCACAGACATATAGAGGCTCACGAAACTTGGATCCCATTAGTTTTTGAATACAATCCTAAAATATTAAAGCTGTTTTTCCCTTAATTTTCCATTTCTTCTTTCGAAAACTTCGTGTGAAAAAAGCTAGTGACTTTTTTCTGAGAATTCAATAGAATAATAGATATGGATGATTTTTAGAAAATATTATTCCATCCATAACTCCAAAAATATGAGAAATTTCTAAATTTTCCACATAACAAATATTATGCGTCTCAAAGAGTACCTACCACAAAAAATCTAGGAAACTTTTGCCATACCTATGACAGTTCGAAAATTATTCGAGACTTTGTTAATTACTATTATTACACATGNCTTATAAATGGAATTTTCAATCTTTTTATTGAAACAATAAAAAACTGGGCTGGTATATACGCTGTGGTCGAAAGAAATATGAAGAATCAACGTTTCATCTGCTACTGTGCCAAACATCATCACTGATATGTGTGATATTGGACGAAGCGAAGTCTTATGGATACCTAAAAGTAGATTTTCCGAAATGGTGCAATCTAGACACAGTTCATTGACTACAAAAATTTCTGGAATGATTTTTTCAAAAGACAACAAATAACATTATTTGGATTAATAAATGAAATATGATTTCAATTGATTGAAAATAATACGACTCAATATTGAAATTAATGAATGTCAGGTAATGGAATGGAGTTGACGGAAATAGATTTGCCTAATATAACAATGAAATATCTTGATTGAATTCAGCAGAGGACCATAATGAACTTGTAGGTAGATGGTATGACAAAGATTCCCTGTCCCCATAATATCTTCTGATTATTACAGGTGATATGAATTCTCGGTGAAAAATAGATAGGTAAGTAAATGTTAATTATTCCCCAGAAAAGTGCATTTCTTTTGATGAGGGCAAACATATTGGAAATAATTCAAATACGCCTCACTTATCGAATAAGTAAGCATATCTACTCACACGTATTCAACTTGAAATTTTCCAAAAATATTTGGTGAATATCATCATTCGCACATAGATTTCTGAATAAATCGGTGATTTCTGCTTTGACTTGTTCTGAAGTGAAATTCCGTCGTTAAATTCACGATATTTTTAAATATCGCAAACAACGAAATGATACACTTTCGCAATCAGACTAAACAACATCGACGACTCACAACCAGCCATACAAATCCGTGCAAAACGGATTAGAGACATACACGACAACACACAAATCAGGTAACAGGTAACTGTTCTACCTCCCCGTCGACATCTCCAGCCAAAACAAAGCCCAAGTGCAAAGAGAGCAAATTACGCAACTTGCAGCGTACGGCCCGAGCGCCTATTACGAAAATCAACACATAAAAAATCAGCTTGTCATTGAACATAAGCCACCTAACAATCAACTGTTTTTACCATAGCCTATTGAGTACTATTCAGAAGCACACCTGCTCGTTCCCCTTCCACCGACCACGGACACTCTATTGGGCCACCGCACTGAGCAGCGTTGTGATTGGTAGTACGGCACGTGCAGGTTCGGCAGAGGGAAAAGCCTTAATAACTCGCTAGTGGGTCGATTCCAACCAGAGCTTACTGAGACTTCGAGTCGTCGCAACGTGCCTTGAGTTTGTCGTTGTAGTTAGTGTGTACGAACTGTTGTGCGTTTCTCGAGACTTGTGCCTTATTTATTGGATTATATTTTGTGTTTTCGTTTTTGGAGTACCTATGCCTGTTACTATCATGGCTAAGAACTATTCGCATTGCCCCTTGAAAAAGAGGCCGATTGTCTATGATGACATACCTGGTACGTTTTTGGTTTCGATTTATTCATAAACTGTTTTCTTGTTTTTTTTATATTTATCATTCATAAAAAAAGAAGTAAAATAATATCCATTCAATAAATGTTCTTACTATTACAAGATTAAAATCTCATTCATCATATGAAATAAGAATACTTCGTGTAACTTTATTTTAACATCTAATAATAAATTGGCTACAAGTGAAAAAAAATTACCAAGTTTTACAATTCATTTTGTTTTATCTTTTTCATTATGATTTTATCCATCCCATAACTACTTTCACTAACCAACCCTTTCTTTTGTTACAGAAGAACCGGAAAATCTTTCCACCAAACCGGAAGATCTCAGCAGAACCGGCCGACTGGACTCAGTCTCGCCTTCATCATCCCCTACGCTATCCACATCAGCGTCTCCTCAATCATCTATGATCGACTCACCCCCAGCATCACCCCCGATGTCGTCACCATCACCAACACACTTCATGTACCAACCCCCAATCAAAGTTGAACCTCGTCTGGAGTACCCGATACCAATTAGCCCGGAGTACGCCCCGCAGACATGGCACAGAAGCGTGGCACCTCCGATGTACCACCCAGCCTACCATCACCCTTACATGCCGTACCCTTATCATCACGAGAGCGTCTACATGGGGCCCACTTCTCCGTACAGCGACAGTTCCCTTTCACCACCGCACCAGATGCAGCAGCCTTTGCAGCCTCTAGCTTTGAGGCCCACTGTGTACTCTTCAATGGACCAAAGCTCCTTGAGCCCCAATTCTTCCACCACATCACCACCTCCTCAAACGGTACCTTCTGCGGAAGATTTGTCTGAGAAGAGGAGGCAAGGCATCAGACACCAATGTCCGGACTGTGGCAAAAGCTACTCCACCTTCTCAGGGTTGTCCAAGCACAGACAGTTCCACTGCGCTGCAGGTGACGGTCCCAAGAAGTCCTTCAGCTGCAAGTACTGCGAGAAGATCTACGTCTCTCTGGGAGCCCTCAAGATGCACATCCGCACCCACACCCTGCCTTGCAAATGTACCATCTGCGGCAAGGCGTTCTCCAGGCCGTGGCTGCTTCAAGGCCACATCAGGACCCACACAGGAGAAAAGCCTTTCTCGTGCACGTACTGTAACAGGGCGTTCGCAGACAGGTCGAACCTCAGAGCCCACTTGCAGACCCACTCTGATGTCAAGAAGTACTCTTGCTCCACCTGCAGCAAAACCTTCTCGAGGATGTCTCTGCTCACGAAGCACACAGAGGGAGGGTGCACGCTGATGCACCTGGAGAAGATGTGCTAGTCTTGTTATTTCGTATTTATTGTTTTTTTGTCTACATTCCCACTGGTGCCCTGCAGTATTTATATCTCACAGTGCCTTTTATGATAAAGACTGAGGATCTTGTACAAATGCCGCGAGTAGGTTAGGTTAGAAAGAGAGAAGTTAATATATATCTTGTACATAGTCTCGCTGGTGAATGCGTCGAATTATTTTCTAGTCAAGGGAAGCGTTGAAGCTTCTTTAATGTTATATTGCCATTGTATAGTGCCTTACTTTTAGAATACATACAGATTTTATACTATTTAAATAAACAGTTATTTATATTTGGTTTTTGTTTTCCGAACCCCAAATTAAGAAAATTAATTTCTTATTCCCCATTTGATATAGATACCTGAAAAATAGTATAGTTGGCCCGAAACCGGTCTGCAATGGTATAGTTGATTGAATATGGCATCTTCTAATTCAGGGATGACACAATTTTATACCAGGAAATGGTGCAATCTTTGAATACCTTCTGTTTATTGTTTTTTTAATTTTTTTTTTAAATGCCAATTTTCAATTTAATGATTTGAATTCAAAGCGTTTCCAAGTTATTATGTAGTTATTATGATTAATACATACACTTTGATTGCACCTAGTTGAAAAGGAAATACTCAACTTTGTTATTAAAATAAATGAATATAATGGAGTAATTCAAAATATGAATAATGATTATATGGGGAAAGAACATATATTCTCACGAATATTTTCAATAATTTCATTTGCTTCTTAGAGTTGATATACATATAGCATTTTTGTTGATTACAAATTTAAAAAATATAGACAGAGCCTACAAGTCTCAAGAAAATACGGTTTTCACACCAGTGTTCAGAGCGAATAATATTTTTTGATACAACTTGTTAAAATATGTTCATATACATGAAGCAAATCATTATTTTCACAAAGAACTTGTGAATATACAGTTACTGAAAGCAGTCACAAGATGTCAGCTACATTTAACCTAAACATATTATAAAAAAAATATTTACAAGACGAGAGCACTTGACTACTTTCTTTTAGAAAGGGTGGACTTTAAATTTCTAAAGACGAAGGTTTGGTTGATTGATGGTCATTTTTCACATATTCCAAAACATAATAATCCTTTGGAGATAATAATAATAGGTCTTTATTCCCATAATGATACATTAAATAAACGGGAAAGGCTGAAGATCAGTTGGTTGCACCAAAAGATGCAACCTCTGTTTTTCATCTGATGATTTTTCTGGTCATTTTCTCATAATCTGAGAATTAACATAGATCAACAGAGAAACTGCTTCCCCAAAAAGTTACTACGTAATAAAAACCTGACTAAAGTTTCAAAAAAATTTTTTTTTCCAAAGACATGTTATTTGCCAAAAGAAAGAGGTTTACATATTTTTAAAACAGGTGTTTGTTATAATAATTTTTTGTCGAAGCGAAAATACAATACAATATCCTAGACGATTATTTTACTAGGAAAGAGGTATCTTGGGATAATATAAACAACTTGGGTATAATATCGATAAAAAAATTTCAAATACTATTTATCAAAAGCGAATTCCCTATGACAGAATCGTTTCCAGTGATAGCCACTTGTTACATTATAATTTACACCTGATAAAGATGCACTTGAAAATAATCAATTCAATTTTAGATATCAAAATAAAAACAATACTCAGTAAACTGAAAATAGATCAGATATAAGATAACAGCAAACCTTTCTAAGAAAAGAATTATGTTGATATTTTGAAAACTCTTATATCATTTATTTATTATCTAGAATTAGTTAGAATCAACCGGAAGAAACAATTATTGTCGGTTCTGGCCTAAAAACGCAATTTCGTCATGTAGAAAATTAATATCGAAGTGCAATAAAGTGGTGTGATTACAAAAAACATGATGTTCAATTGAAAATTTTAAAAAAAAATCATTTTTCATCAATGAAATGATTTCTCTTTTGATGGTGGAATCGTTACTGTAGTTCTGTATTTCCTCCAGGATCTGAACTCGCAAACTTTCCTGATCTCAGTCTAACATACTGTTTTGAAACTCACAAATCAACCTGCTCGCCGTAAAAATCGATCCGCGTGAGTTATTCATCAACATCAACCTTCCTACGAAGTCATTTGTCCGTAGCCCACAACTTAATGGGCATTATAAATTATCTTCGTGAGTCATCCTCATTAGGGATTTGTGATTGCATAATTCATTAGTAGCGTGAATCAAATTTCTGCAATGCTAATCCGAATAACGTTTCTAATTATTGATAGACAATGGTCGGTGTTGTATTAACAATTGTTTTTATTGTTTGTATAACGTTGGCCTTCTTCCGCCATTTTGTCTTTCTTGGAAATGGTGCCGGGCCCAAGATGTTGATTAGCAAATAGAATATAGAGGAGAAAAGTGACTTATTATGGTGAAGAAAGTTGTCTCTAGACTGTCTTGTATGGTACGGTGGATTTCATTGGATCATCCGGTGGGATTTAAAATTATGCATGCAATCGGTCTATAATTAGATGTCTTTTATTTATGTGAAGATATGATTGTTTATAAATAAATTCTGAAATTTTTTCAGGGTCCAGAATATACATCGTTGATTATAGATATTTGTGGGATTCGTACGATTTAATGTCAAGAGGAAATAAATTGCTTGTTGGCCAAACACGACATACCTAGTAATTTTGAATTAAATAACACTGTATGTGCTCCACCACTTCTAGATAAGGTAGCAAAATCACACAAGGAAAAGTAAGACCTAATTAAACCTTGTCACGTACAAGTTCAAACTTCTGGCGTTTTTCGAAAAACCCTGGTTAACGGAAAACCAATTTTTGATTCAAAAAAGAGTGCCAATATTTTATCAGACGTTGTTGAAGATGTCACAGCCATCCCTTGAAACATTTGTAATTTCATTACTACTTGTGACAAACATAATTTAGTCGATTTAGCTGGGAAAATTTAGATTTACAGAAGTGTGTATTGTTGACGAGTACAAATTGTGTATTTTTGTTCACTTCCATGTTTTTATGACTATTCTAGTAATTAGTTGGTTCGTCAGCACGCTGGTTCTCCATTGGTTCTCCATTGGATATCGGTAATCAGATCGCCTGTCATTAGCGGCATGAAAGTTTCATAGGACAATTTGGTGATGAGTTGTCGAATGCAATTTTATGAATGGCTCTCTCCAATGAAAATCCTTGCTTCCTCCAATTTGTTTGAAGAATGGTTTGAAACAATGTATTTGAATGATACACTGGATTGGTTCCCGAATTATTGGGTCATATTTCATCGGTGAATGACGATCAGTGCTTTCTTCTTCTTCATAAAATTTAATTGCAGCAAGAACAATGAACATTCACACTATATACTTTGATTTCAGTAACATCTGTACCTCCCTCAAATACTTCTTAATTTCTCGATTTACAGACGGGGCTGTATCGTATGGCCCGTGAGATCACCAGATTTAATACTATTGGATTTTGATCTGTAGGGTTGTTCGAATAGTGTTCATTTTTAATTTTAAACATAAAAGGGTATTATTCCTTTTATGTGTCCAGAAGTAACAGATAATGTCCAACTACACTTTTTCATAGATTATGACATTGTTTCGCCATTAATGGTCAATAATTTGAACATTTCATTGATTGTCTCAACAAATTTTGCTCTTTTTTCTATTTCCAATTTGAATACATTTTGGTGAATAGAGAGTAAAGTTATTTATCACCCAAATTTTCGAAACATCCGTAATCTAACACCCAAAAGCACTGTTTCGAACCTACATAGGTCTCATCAGTGGTGTTGGGCTGAATCACAAATGTAATGTTGGACTCAACTATTCCCTTATTATGCTTTTTCGATAGTGTCCATCGGCTTTTTCTACCAACTACTTTTGCAGTCCTTTCAGAATCAAAAAAAATATTAAATATATCAACAATAGCCTGAATTATTTTCATAAGTAGATCAGTTTAAACAAACGGATAAAAATTTCACTCGCCTTCAGTAAAAGTTGAAAACAGATCCGCATATTGCTTCCTCAATAAATCAATGATACTGAAGAATGCAAGATGGTTATCTTTTTCGTAGGACACAAAATCGAAAGTTGTGCGATATGAAAATTCCTCAAACAATTCACGTCACTTTCCCCACTGATCGAATTCGATCACGAAACAATAAGTGCACTGTCGACAATTCCTCGAAAAGTTTTTTATTCGAGCCGATCGTGCTTAACCCAACAATGAAGTCTTCAATGTTAAAGTTGCAATCATTAAGTTTTATATAATATTTAAACAAATTAGTTATAAAATGTCAGCTGATAGTAACAATGGAAAATATTCATTAACAATAAACTGTGTGCCACACACAAGCTCACGACTATTACAGAGCTAACATTTAAAAATAGGTAAATTATAAGCTTACGTCGTTTAACGCTGGCGTTTCCCTTTTTTCTCTACAGATCGGACGGTGTCGGGACATTCAATTTACTTTCGATTTTGTAACGAATAGTATCGTTTTATTTGTTCAGCTTGTCTAATTGTTACTTCGAGACTTATGGATTTACGACCACTGGGTACCAATAAACGCAGTAAATAGTACGATTGAACACCTTGAGTCATTTTGTAGTAAATTCGTGTCTTTTCCATGAGAAATAGACTCGGAAGATGTCGAATTTCTGGACTTATAAATAGAATTTTCATTCTTTTTATTGAAACAATAAAAAACTGGGCTGGTATATACGCTGTGGTCGAAATAAATATGAAGAATCAACGTTTCATCTGCTACTGTGCCAAACATCATCACTGATATGTGTGCAGGTGAATTTCAGGCAGACAAAAGCACTAATGATGTAATATTTAACTGAAAATGAGAATTTGTTAGAACCAATATTTGTTCAAGTAAAAACAAAAAGGAGAATACATTCAAGATTCACCTACTGATGATATTAACGTCAATGGAAAAGTTTAAACAAATTAGATATAGAAATAAACAATTGAATCATTATTTGCATCTTTATTTAGCGATTCTCGATAAAAATTCATAAAGAGTTCACTAAAAGTACAAGATTCCAGCCACACAAGTTAATATAAGGTAAATTGATGGATGTAGCCGTTACTACGTGGTAGGAAATCATAATGAAGAAAAGAGAATTGAATCTTTCTATGTTTTTTACCACTTTTATTTGTAACTAACGTTACCGCAGTTTCGTCCTATAAGGACATTTTCAAACTACATTACAATTTGAACTTTTTTTTTAATGCATAAGTTTGAAAATGTCCTTATAGGACGAAACTGCAGTAATGTTATAAAT